AGGACATTACAGAATGATAAAGGGGTCAGTCCAACAAGAGGATATAACTATCATAAATATCTATGTACCCAACACAGGATTGCCTACATATGTGAAACAAAATAAATATTAACAGAATTAAAGGGGGAAACAGAATGCAATGTATTCATTTCAGGAGACTTCAACACACCACTCACTGCAAAAGACAGATCAACCAGACAGAAAATAAGGAGACAGAGACACTGAACAATGTATTAGAACAGATGGACCTAACGGACATCTACAGAACACTCCATCCAAAACAACAGGATACACATTCTTTTCAAGTGTACATGGAACATTTTCAAGAATAGATCTTATAGTAGGCCACAAAAAGAGCCTCAGTAAATTCAAAAAGATTGAAATTGTACCAACCAGCTTCTCAGATTACAAAAGTATGAAACTATAAATAAGTTACACAAAGAAAATGAAAAAATCCACAAACACATGGAGGCTTAAGAACCTGCTCCTAAATAATCTATGGATCTATGACCACATAAAAACAGAGATCAAACAATATATGGAGATAAATGACAATAATAATTCAACACCAAAAGATCTGTGGGATGCAGCAAAGGCTGTGCTAAGAGGGAAGTATATTGCAATACAGGCTTACCTCAGGAAAGAAGAACAATACCAAATGAACAGTGTAAACTCACAATTAATGAAACTAGAAAAAGAAGAACAAATGAGGCCAAAAGTAAGTAGAAGGAGGGACATAATAAAGATTAGAGCAGAAATAAATAAAATCAAGAAGAATAAACAATAGAATCAATGAAAGCAGGAGTTGGTCCTTTGAGAAAATAAACAAAATAGATAAACCCCTAGCCAGACTTATCAAGAAAAAAAGAGAGTCTACATACACAAACAGAATCAGAAATGAGAAAGGAAAAATCACTATTGACACAAGAAATACAAAGAATTATTAGAGAATACTATGAAAAATTATATGCTAACAAACTGGATAACCTAGAAGTGGACAACTTTCTAGAAAAATACAACCTTCCAAAGCTGACACAGGCAGAAACAGAAAATCTAAATAGACCAATTACGACCAACGAAATTGAACTGGTAATCAAAAAACTACATAAGACCCATCTGACAGCTAGAAAGAAAATAGGAACTTCAGTCCTACAACCACAAGCAACTGAATTCTACCAACAAACTGAATGACCTAGGAAGAGGATCCTGAAGAAACATGATCCAGCTAAGAACTATGGAACAGTTTACACCTTGATAGCAGGCTTGTAAAACCTCCAGCAGAAGATCATGCTAAGCCTTGTGTGGATTCCAGACCCATAGGTACTATAGGACAATAAGTGTAACTACCACTAAATTTGTGATTTTTACCACACCAATAGAAAACTGACGCAAGCAGAAAAAACACAAATTTTAACTTGCATAATCCACTCACCCACTGCTTTCATATACTACATATTGTTTTATGATTTGCAAATTTTGTATTCATTAATATGTGATGAATATTTTTATGTGTCATTAAATATTCTACAATAAAATTTTCTAGAGGCTACATAGGATCCCCCCCCCCTCAAAAAAACTACATAAGAACAAAACTCCTGGATGACATGGTTTCACTGCTGAATTTTATCAAACATTCAGTGAAGACCTAATACCCATCCTCTTTAAAGTTTTCCAAAAAGTAGAAGAGGAGGGAATACTCCAAAACTCATTCTATGAGGCCAGCATCACTCTAATACAAAAACCAGGCAGACACCACAAAAAAAGAAAATTACAGACCAATAAACCTGATGAATACAGATGCAAAAATACTCAACAATATATTAGCAAACTGAATTAAAAAATACATCAAGAGAATCATACACCATGATTAAGTGGGATTCATCTCAGGGATGCAAGGATGGTACAACATTCGAAAATCCATCAACATCATCTACCACATCAACAAAAAGGACAAAAAAACACATGATCATCTTCATGTAGATGCTGAAAAAGCATTCAACAAAATTCAATATCCACTCATGATAAAAACTCTCAACAAAATGGGACAAATACCATTTTGACAAACACCTAGGAATAAACCTAACCAAGGAAGTGAAAGACCTATACCCTGAAAACTACAAGATACTCTTAAAAGAAATTAAAGACACTAAGAAATAGAAATTCATCACATGCTCTTGGGTAGGAAGGATTAATATTGTCAAAATGGCCATCCTGCCTAAAGCAAAGTACAAATTCAATGCAATCCCTATCAAAATATCAATAGCATTCTTCAATGAACTGGAACAAATAGTTCTAAAATTCATATGGAACCACAAAAGAGCCCCAATAGCCAAAGCAATCCTGAGAAGGAAGAATAAAGCAGGGGGGATCTCACTTTCCAACTTCAAGCTCTACAACAAAGCCACAGTAATCAAGACAATTTGATACTGGCACAAGAACAGACCCACAGACGAGTAGAACAGAATAGAGTCCAGATATTAAACCCAAACATATATGGTCAATTAATATATGATAAAGGAGCCATGGATATACAATGGGGAAATGACAGTCTCTTCAACAGCTGGTGTTGGCAAAAACTGGACAGCTACATGCAAGAGAATGAAACTGGATCACTGTCTAACCCCATACACAAAAGTAAACTCGAAATGCATCAAAGACCTGAATGTAAGTCATGAAACCATAAAACTCAGAAAAAAACATAAGCAAAAAATCTCTTGGAGATAAACATGAGCAACTTCTTTATGAACATATCTCCCCAGGCAAGGGAAACAAAAGCAAAAATGAACAAGTGGGACTATATCAAACTAAAAAGCTTCTATATAGCAAAGAACACCATCAGTAAAACAAAAAGACATCCTACAGTATGGGAGAATATATGCATAAATGACATATCTGAAAAGGGGTTGACATCCAAAATACACAAAGAGCTCATGCACCTCAACAACCAAAAAGCAAATAAGCCAATTAAAAAATGGGCAGAGGAGCTGAACAGACACTTCTCTGAAGAAGAAATTCAGATGGCCAATAGGCACATGAAAAGATGATCCACATCGCTAATCATCAGAGAAATGCAAATTAAGACCACAATGAGATATCACCTCACACTAGTTAGGATGGTCAACATCCAAAAGACAAACAGCAACAATTGTTGGCGAGGATGTGGAGAAAGGGGATCCCTCCTACACTGCTGGTGGGAATGTAAACTAGTTCAACCATTGTGGAAAGCAGTATGGAGGTTTCTCAAAAAACTCAAAATAGAAATACCATTTGACCCAGGAATTCCACTCCTAGGAATTTACCCTAAGAATGCAGCAGCCCAGTTTGAAAAAGACATATGCACCCCTATGTTTATCGCAGCACTATTTACAATAGCCAGGAAATGGAAGCAACCTAAGTGTCCATCAGTAGATGAATGGATAAAGAAGATGTGGTACATATACACAATGAAATATTATTCAGCCATAAGAAGAAAACAGATCCTACCATTCGCAACAATATGGATGGAGCTAGAGGAACAAAGAAAAAAACTGAAGGAACAAAACAGCAGCAGACTCACAAAACCCAAGAATGGACTAACAGTTACCAAAGGGAAAGGACTGGGAGGATGGGTAGAAAGGGAGGGATAAGGGGGGAAATGGGGCATTATGATTAGCACACATAATGTAGGGGAGGCATGGGGAAGGCAGTACAACACAGAGAAGGCAAGTACTGATTCTATGGCATCTTACTACGCTGATGGACAGTGGCTGTAATGGGGTAGGTGGTGGGGACTTGATAATGGGGGGAGTCTAGTAACCATAATGTTGTTCATGTAATTGTACATTAATGATAACAACAACAACAAGAAAACATATTACCAAGGAAGTTTAGAGAGAACCTCTATTTCCACATGAGTGGAAATTGATGCAACTATTTCAATGACTTTTACAATCTGCATACATTGGTCTTAACAACAGAGGCACAACTTTAACAACTTGTTTCTAAAAGGCAACCTGATTTGCTGCCTTGATGAGATAGATGTTTATTACAAATGATAAAAATATCTCTAGAAAAGTTGAGAAAATCATCCAAAATAAAAACCAGGAGGGGGATCTAAGTAGACAAAATAGAAAAAGGAGGGGCATCTTAAAAAACAGAGAGGCACACAGATAATGGAAGCAACCGAAGTGTCCATCAATAGATGAATGGATAAAGATGTGGAACATATACACAATGGAATATTATTTAGCCATCAAAAGAAAGGAAACCCTGCCACTTGCAACAACATGGAGGGCAATTATGCTCAGTGAAATAAGCCAGGTAGAGAAAGACAAATGTCATATGATTTCACTTATTTGTGGAATATAAAAAAATTAAAGTGGAACAAAATAGCAGTAGACTCATAGACACTGAGAAAGGACTAGTGGTTATGAAGGGGGAGGGGTTGGGGCAGATGGGTGGGGAAGGTGGGGGGATAAAGGGGCACAATAATTTGCAATCACAATATAAGTTGGTCATGGGGACGGTAGGACAGCATGGAGTGTATAGTCAGTGATTCTGTAACATCTTCCCACACTGATAGATAGTAACTGCACAAGAGGGGGTGAGGATTTAATAATATGGGTAACTGTTGAACCACTGTTTTATATTTGAAACTAACATAAGATTGTATATCAATGATATTTCAAGAAAAAGAGAGGCACAAAAACTTGATCAAAAGCCAGATGAATGGAAACAAACAGTAATAGAAATGTTGACAACACTGAAGAGAAAAGAACCTCTGAAACTCTACGGTTAAAGATGAACCATCTGTGAAGTATAGACCATAAAGACTAAGGAAAATAAACTAGCATAATATTTTAATACTGCTAATTTTTTGAAGATTCATCTTTAAAATCAGTTTATAAAGGCACATTCAACAAAGTATTAAGTACAAAAAGAAGGAATTATATGTATCAGCATTTAGCAAGAAGCCCTAAAATTGTTCACTAATGTTTTTCTTCCTAACAGTCTAGAAAACAAATGTTTTAACTTGTCCACAAATTCCATCTCCTTCTTTAAGAAATGGTTGCAGTGAAGTTCTGAGGAATTCATCTTTCTAGAAGAAACAGTTTTCTTGCCTGCTGCTGGCTTCCTCTCCTGCGTAGAAATCTGGCCTCAGCGTGTCGGGCACCTTTGTGTTCCCTAGGTTTGGATATTATTGTCCTTTAAAGGCTGAGTTGATTGCCTATTGCTTTTGTAATTCAGATGTCTTGTTTTTTTCAGTCCCTGGGCTGGGTCAGGCCTAGGTGACCAAGGCCTGGGCTGTCTACCTAAGCTGCTTCCAGCCTCACAGGGATAGTGAGGCCCAATCAGAGGACAGTAGGGATGTGCAGGGACATTGGGACTGTGGCACCAAGGGCTGTGATTAGGGAAGAGGGTTGATGGGATATCTTTTTCTCTCTGAAGAAAAACTCCACCTGGTTCCATCTGATATCTGGAGGTGTCTTCCTTAGACTGATCTTGTTTCTCTTTAGTTGGAGTTACAGCTGGTGCCCAGTGAAACCTGTGCCTTTGAGACACAGGGCTTACTACTGAGCATCTGTCAAATTCAGTGTCCGTGTCCGGTTTCTCCCATGCTTGCTTCCAGTGAGTAGGAGTATACCAGGCAATAGCTGTTGCTGTGCAGTTGGCCTGCATTCTGATATCTGGAAGGAATCGGTACAAAGAGACTCTTTGTGCATCCACATTTTGCTGGAGAATATGGCCTCCGATCTCCAGTTCTTTGTCAAGGGAAGAGTTAATGAGCTTCACAAATAAATCCTTAACATTTACTTCGGCTATTTTGATGTCTCCAAGAGCACTGTATCTAGACTGGCCCAGTTCTTCAAGAATCATAGAAAAGTGCCTCCAAGTCCTCTTGGAGTGGAATGAGTGTGCAAGAAGTTTCTTCGATTCACCAAACAAAGACAGGAAATAGTCCTCCCCGTCCCCGGTTACGGCGGTCTCAGGAGCAGGGACAAACCGCGTCTGTTTCTTTGGAGTTGTGAGGCTGTCGGAGCCTTTCAAAGAAACCAGGCTGTTTTCTGATCTGGAATGGCTCACAATAGGTTTAGGGGTCTTTGATCCAATTGTTGATAAGAGTTACTCCACTAATAATCTGAGGGCTGGACAGAGAGTAACTGATGGGCCCTTCATAGGACAATGACTGTGACAACCGCAGTGTTGTATCTGAATCTGTTGTACTTGAAAAAAAATGTCCTAAAGATCGCTGTCTTTGGGAGATGATCACGTGTGTCTTCTTTCTGTTCTTGATTCTCCACTTTATCTTCCACCTCACGGACTTGACTCTGCATGGCCGCCGAAGTTTCCCGAGTGGCTTCTCGGTCTTTCATGTTAGCTAGAAGAGATGTCTCTTTTCTCTCTTTTTGATTGCAGGCATCTTCCATTTCTTCCTGGATCCAGATCACCTCTGTAGCTCTGGCTTCTTTTCCATGCTGTTTGTATGGAATCTCCGGGACTCTTAATTTGGGGGCTCTTCTTGATGGGTGGGATGGCACTTCTGAGTCCTGGGCATTTGCCTGCCTCTCATCTCTTGAAATGCCCCGGGCTAAGGAAGATTTCGCTCTCGGGAGCGCGGGGCCCCGGGGCCCCGGTCGCCTCCCGATTCCCGGCCGCCCGCACCGCAGGCCTCGGGGTCGGTCGCGGCGAGCTGGGCCGGGGGTGGGGGGGAGGGGGCTAGAGGGGGAGCCGGAGCGGCCACGCCGCGCGCCCCGCCGCCTGCACAGCTCCCACAATGCAGCGCCGGCGTCCCGGTTCCGTTACAAGGGCTCCCCCGGCGCCGGCGAAGCGGCGGGGAGCGGGCGGGGGAGCCGGGCGGCCGCGCCTGTAACCCGAGCGCCCGACTGAGGGGGGCGCCTGCTAAAACTGTTTTTTGGATTATAGTATAGATACATATCTCACATGGTGGCACCAGATCCATTACAAGAATAAATTTAAACGACTAAGATTCCCAGTTGACAATGCTGAATTCCACCTAAGCCTTGTGCTCCTGGAAAACAGTGAAGATTAAAGGCATCCCCTCAGCCTTTTGTGTTTTACCAAATGGCTTACTGCGAATCACCCTTCCCCATATGATATAGTTAAGACTCAGAGATGCCCCTCTTGTTTACCTATGACAAAGCCAACACCTTCAAAATTCACTTTCCTTGCCTCATAAATGATTAGCTGAACTGTTTTATCCCCACTAATTAATCACAACAAAATGCTTATTAACCAAACTTTGGTTAAGCTTCGCTCCTTCCTCCAGGCCCCCAAAATATTCTCTGATCTATTGCCCTGATCAGCCCCTCTTTCATCCCACTTCCCTATATCCAGTTCTTCCTAGCCTTATTTACTCCTGTCTATAAAAGAAAGCCCCTTCTTGCCTAGCCCTTGAGATGCCTGCAGATCTTGCAGTCACAGCATTCTCCCTATTGGGATAGTCCCCTCTCCTACAATTTCATAGGCCCTTTTCTCCTTTGCTATATCCTTTTGAATGAAATCCAGATTGCTTTTTAGGTGAAAAAATACTAGCCAATGGATAAGAACATCCCCTGAATCACAGATAAGAAAGCTACAGAAACTTGGTATCTTTTATATTGCTTTTTGGTTAGACCCCCACATCATTAATTACATTATATATAGACTCATGTGTAGGTTTAAATCCTTGGGTCTCCTGAAAATTTATCTCAATCCTTACCCCCAAATATACTCTCATCATACACCACAGGTCTCTTGATACTACATGGGTTTATGGGATGAAATTTTGATATATGTCCATTAAATGGGCTCAAAAGTCACATAAGTTGTTAAGCAAAATCCTATGACTGTATTACTCTATGAACTTGCTTATTGATTATGGATCAGAGGTAACATAAGCTAATTTTTTTTTAAAAAGGAAGGAATCTTTAGAAAACTGTTTCGAAAAAGTACCTGGCAGGACAGATGTACTTCAGTTGCCATCTTTCTATTTAGAGGTAAATTCTACCATTGAGGACTCAAAGGCCTTGATGAACAAGTGTGAGTGAACAATAGCACAAACAGATTTCCTGCCAAAAGAAGAAAACAGAAAAAATCATATACCTGTTTAGGAGACTTAAGTAATTATATTTACCTACCTGAAGTTATCTTTTCAATGTAACACCCACTTATGGAATAATACCTAACAGATACTATCCAATCCAGATATGCATACAAACTCTAGAAAAAGTAACAAATAGATCATAAATCATAGGAGATCATCCAGTCCCTTAACTTTACTTTTTGTGGTATAAGAAGAAATCCAAATTTGAATGGCATGAAAAGCACAGAAAATCCAGTTATATTTATTTATTCAAATAAACCCAGAGAAGCAGAACTAAACATGGCAGTAATTGCTAATGTTACTAAATACTGTGTACTAGACATTATGATAAACACTTTGATGTGAATTATTTCATTTATTCCTCACAATAATCCTTTAAGGAATTATCATTGCCCATTTTCACAGATGAGTAAAGACTTAAATCAGGTTGTCTAAAATTACACAGCCAGCATAGCAGAGTCAAATTTGAACGTAGGCAGCCTAACTCAAGAGCTGTTTTTTAACTCTGGACTCTAACTCACGGTCTTCAGTACCATACAACGTTGCTTCTCAAAACAACACTATTGCAAACAAAATATGCCTTCACCTGTTTTAAACAAAAGATTTCCACATTATGTAAATGTAGCAACCAACTTTAAATCCCAACCAATTTTATCAATTTCCAAAATCTTCACAATTTTTAAAATCACCTAAGTCACATTTGTTGAGATGTTCATTACATTGCTAGTTATGTTAGTTGCAATTATCAGTCTTTTTTATACTGTAAAGTTTAACTGCAAGTATTAGTATTCTGTCTATAGTGAGAAAGTAATTTAAAATCATTTACTTCTGAAATATGTTATAGTAATTACTGTTCAGTATGGTATGTCCAGCATTCCTGGAATTCAAAGCACGTTAAAAATAAAATGAAACCAGGTTAAAAATACCCATCTCAGACAACATTAGATGGCTACACAGGTTTCCCCAGTAATCTGCTCTATGCAAACTCTTTTAGATCTTCTCTAACCAGTTTAATCTTCACTTTTAAACTACTTGGCACAGCACTTACTGTCTTCACTATTCCTATTGTCTTCACTATTCAACTGGCATTACTCATTTGCCTTATATTTTTATTTAATTATCACATGCATAGCTCTTACATAAACTACAGACTAAATTTCTAAGGAATGAACTGGTATCTTATCATTCTTTGAATTATTTCTCACAGTACCAAACACAATACCATATACATATAATGAATGAAGAAAAGACAGAAGAGGGGAGGAAAAGAGGGAAGAATGAAGGATGGAAGGAAGGAGTTTTCTCCCTATTAAGCTTGCTCGTTAAGATGTCATAAGTCATCAAAGTACTTAATTAAGCAGAGTAAATATGAAGAACTGTTTCATAATTTATTGAACTGATTACCAAAAAACTGTCATGTCTTAATCTGCTGGATGAATCAGATACCCCATAACCCTCCCTAAGCTAACAGAAAAAACAGTACAAGAAAGTCTCTTCCCCCTTACGTCTGTCAACAGAATTGCTTCTCAACTCTTTCAATCCTACGACAAATACGTGAACTTGCAAGGACAAACCAAGAGAAATGAAGAGTTGTATCCCTCTTCACCAATCATCTATCCACTCATCTCTCCATCCATGAATGTGACACATATATATTGCATGCTTACATTGTGTTAGGCTTTCTTCCCAGCTTTTGGGATACAGCAGTGAATAGAAAGAAAAAAAAGTCCTGCCCATGGAGTTCTAGTTGAGGAGAGAGATGGTAGATAAAGATGTAAAATATATATATATATATATATATATATATA